CCTATTTAATTCCTTATATTAAATAGGGGAACTTGTCGGCCAATACATTGGTTTCGCAGACCAAACGGATGTCATAACTTTCTTTAGTTTATTTGATCGAGCCTCACTCTCAATTCTTGCGTTCATCCTTCGGGATAGATACATGATTTGAGATAAAGCGCTCTTTCATCTAAACTATGAAAATTATGGGGTCAGTTTAACTTCATCTTTTTCAAAACTAAATTTTTTAAAAAAAACGTCCTTCCGAAGCGGGCAACGGGATTTCAATTTCGATGACCGACAGCTTCTTACGGGCAAACCCCACACCAAAAATAGTGCCGACACATATCAATGTATTTCCAATATATGATTAAGTGTAACCATAAATAATTAATATTACCACTATAACATATGCATATGGATTGGTGCTCTGGCTCGACACATCTATCTCCTCTAGATTGGGATTTTCTTTATCATCAATATATATTAGTGAATCTCTTGTCATTCCTACAGAGCTATCTGGACTATGTAACTCTTCTCCTCCTGTTGGCTCTTCAACTGGACTATGTACATCTTCTCCTACTGTTGGCTCTACAACTGCACTATATACATATTTTCCTATTACTGGCTCTTCAATTGGACTATGTACATCTTCTCCTGTAGCTGGAGTGCTAGAAGGATCTAAATGGGATGACGCGTGAAGAGCCCACAAAACAAATTTAATTTTTCCTGAAACAAAAAAAGACATATTAGACGATAGTTATGTGAATAGAAATAGCTCTTTACTATATAGGCTAGCGACTCTAGAACACCCTTCATTGATCGTTCAACCTCTTCCGGATCTTCCTGAAATGTTGCATCGCCCGTTATTCTTTTTGGAGACTCTCTTACTGTATCATCTTGATCTTTACTTTGTACAGTTATATTTTCTTTATGTGGCTCAGCAAAAATAGAAATTTTTTTTTTCTTTTCTTAAGTTGGTATGTGAACTCGGGTGAACCGACAACCCTCCTCCTTCTCTGGGTGGGCTTAACACTTCGAGCAGATGATCTGTGTGTTCCCGTTGGTTGTGCATCAACTTCCTTATTTGCTTTGGTTCTTTGCAATCATTCAACCATAGCAATTAAGTTTTGTACTGTACTGACTCCCTAACATAAGCCATTTGTTGACTCATTCTATTCATGATTTCATGCAATATAAGAGTAGACTTTTCTTAACGTTTCAATAGGTCGATTATTATTTCAAATTCATTATTAGTTGTTGTATGCGTCTCTTCTAGGGTGATTTCGCTGGAAAAAATCGGCCCCACGCTATAGGATAATGGTGAAGATAGTTCGACAGTTGTTTCTAGATGTTGGACAACCTTGGCAGGGCTAGGTAGTCTCTCTTCCGAGTTGGACAGTAAGTGTTGCTCATCCTCTTGCAAATCAATGAAGGAATCATTAACATGCAACACCATGAAAAATGCCCATAATGAATTCCAAATCAATGAAATGAATGACTAAGATAAACATTCAAAATTTTCATGAAGTAAATGTTTAACTTTTGCACGACCAAGATTTCTGAATGCCTCATGAATCTCTACTATTGTCCAACCTTGATTTGTTGGCCACCTTAGAATGTGAGGCCTGACCTCCGGAACATGAGGAGCAAACACAAAGGTGTGCTCGTAAAGCCATAGCTGTGAATGTCTCATATCAGAAAGAGAAATGTAAAAACAAATAAAACTGCATCTGAATGAATATTATTTTTTGTAAACAACCAGGATTTCATCTTAATTTGGTAGCGACGATGCTAACTTGATCGAGGATGAAGTCACAAATTGCAGCGGGCCAGTTATAAGTAGAAAATAATTGTACATCTTCACAAAAGTAAAGAACTCCCACGGGCACGCTAAAGTTGCTCGAGGGAAAAAAAAAATTCGTTAGTAGAAATTTCAAAAATAACTGTTCAAAGTGAGTGGAAGAACCTCCTTCAAAAAACTTCATCAATTGGTCTTTTATTTATCTGGCATCCACACCAGACAAAACAGTTTTCCTCCATACAACTGCCTCTTCTCTGTTAAGCATACCTAATATCAACACCAAGTGGTCAGGATGAAATTTTACTTCTTTCCCACCCATTCCGAAGACCCTCCTTTCATTATCCCAACATCTCAGAATGTGTAATGTCAACACATTATCATGTGGGTATGGAGGCATATAAAAAAGGTGGATGGCATGCATTTCTTTCAACGAATTCACTGACTCCTCTGATATGAGATGTATGATAGAATCCAAAGCACCCCTTACTGCAGATGGACGTCACCTACAGTTGAACGTCCTTGCGTTCATAAACCTACAAATGAAAAAAAATTGCAATAAGTTCCATTAAAGACATTTTGAAAGAAATACAACACATATAACACCATGAAAGCCTTGAGTTACACCCAAAATCAAAGCAACACAGCTCATATACAATTATATTACACAACAGTTAAAATAACACCAGTTATATAACACCTAAAGCAAAGCCAAACAACACCTGTACATATAACACACACTAACACAAAAATCACACCAAAAAAATTTAATTGTGTTATTCAGTTATTAATAAGTTTCTACGCATATAACACCAAGAAAGCCTTCAGTAACACCAAATATAAAAGCAATACAACACATATACGAATTCCTAACACATCAGCAAAGGATAATTGGTGTCATGCACTCAATAACATCCATTTACACAATCATAACACACCCTAAACAACCACTATGTGGTTCACTGCCATTTCACACATCAGTAACATCTAAAAGCAAAGCCCTAAACCACATATATAACTTTAATACACCAAATGAATAAAAGATACGTATTATTAACCAGAATAACACAACAATAACACAACAATAACACAACAACAACACATCATTAAGACATAAAACACAACATTCACGTGGCTATAACACGAAGATATCACATCTATAACACATCAATCACAAATGGATAACACAGATAACAACAAATGGATAACACAATAGTAGTACAACCAAATAAAAAATGAACGCTAACTCAGCAATAACACAAGGGATACTCATCAATAATACAAGGGATACTTAGCAATAACACAAGGGATACAATACCTCGATGACTTTGGAGCACTGCTCTTCTGTTCGGTTTGGTAAATATAAAACCCTAAACCTCTAAACTTCAAACGAAGAAATGACTTTCCTGCTCTGCTGCAAACAATGACCATCGTCTTCCGAACGAACAATGGCCACCATCTTCCGAACGAACAATGACCACCGTCTTCCGAACGAACAATGACAATCCTCTGGAAACCCTAGCTCCGAAATATAAGAGACGAAATGTCGAAACAGGGAAGCTGCTCTCGAAACAGTGCTCTTTCAACTCTTCGCGCTCTTTTTTAACGCAAAAGCACTTTTTCATAACGTTCTTGGGTTAGAGTCGGGTCGGGCCGCTAACTTTTTTTTTAACCGAAATTTCATATGGGCCCACCATGCCACGTGTCACCATATTATTCGTCTATGAATGTTCCTCTACGTCAGGACACCTGACCAAATACGCGCTCCCCCTTTATGAGAGGGATGAGACTCTATTTATAATGTTTGGGTGCAATTAATGCAGGAATATGAACCATTTTGATCGGACGGTCCGAATAGCTTTCCTCGATCATACGACATTTAATGGACATTTGAGTGGCTTGATGATATCAGAATTGAGTGATCTTAAGCTCGTTGGATTCGTCTTGTCGAGACGCTCGATTTGAGTATGAACTTGTAAGATTCAACATCCATTTTACCTTACAAATGTGTAAACTTTCAAGAATGGTTTAATGACTTGATGTGGGCTTGATTTGACTCAAATTGGTCTGACTTTGATATCATCAGATTCGTCTCATCGATCCGGTCAGTTTGACTATAAGTTTGTTGTAATCAGAACTCTTAATGAGTTTTTATCAAAATTTGAATGTTTCTTGTTCAAAATATTGTCTCGAGATCCGTGTCATGCTTCAAGATTCGTGCAGATGATAAAAATTTGTTGGTGACGTATCAATTATTTTAGAAGAAAAAAAGTTGGATTGTGATATTTTGATCAAATTTATTTGTTTTTGTTTGATAACAATGTGGTATAGAATAAAATTATTTTTTAAATATTATATATTTATTTAAAAATAAATATAATTATTTTGCGGCTCTTTGGGACCTAAATTTTTATACCTTGATAAATACTTCTTCATAATAAAGGTAACCAAATAATCATAACCAAAATTAAATTCAAGAGGGGCAAGATTAAACATTTATATATCTAATGTAATAAAATAAAGGAATATATGCACATACACCCCTAAGTCTCTATATATTTACATTTCCAACCCTCAAGCTTCAATTACTTATCCCCAAAAAGTGTATCACTTTCTTAAAAATCAAAACAATGGTATTTTTTTTCTTATAGAATACGAAAGTTTTAGGTGTTATAAAAGTAGAAAAATAAATGTAATTCAGCTCTTTCATATGTAAATTCATAGGAATTGGGGGGCCAATTTGTAAAAAATCCCTTTTTACATATAAATTCCCATGCAAATCTTACTATTTATATCATAAAAAAGATTGATTCCCTTCATTTAACTAAATTCCCCTTTTTGGGCGACTGTAACAGATAAACTTCAAACCCTAGTCAATCCCAATCACCCGTTCTCCTAATCTCTCTCCCCCCACACAACCAACTCACATTCTCTCTCTTCTCATCTCCCCTATCCCCGCTTCTACGTCCCCCTCCATCTCCCCCCCTCCCCACTCCTCGCCATTGTTGGCTTCGAATCAAGCCCTCGTTTTTCAGTCGATAATGGCCTCGGTTAACAGCTCCGGCATACAGTACTTGGTGGACAAGCGGCGCAACTCTTCTGTTCTGGCGCCGGTGGTCTGCTTCAATCCGAGGAGCACGGTGGTCGGCGGCGTGTGGCAGGGGGAGAACCTCTTCGAGTACTCCTTCCCCCGCTTTGTTCTTCAGCTTCTGCTCATCGTCTTCCTCACTCGCATCGTCGCGCTCCTCCTCCGCCCTCTTCATCAGCCTCGCTACCTCGCCAATATCATCGTATTCTCTCTCTCTTTATCTCTCTATCTCTATCTTTCAAAAGATTATAAGAAAGCTTTCTGACAGCAATCACACTTTGATAGTTCAGATCGAAAAAAATAATTTTCTATCACATAAATTTTTAAAGAACGACAAAAAAATAGTTTCACAAACAAAAGAGTCGCGTGGCTATGAAAAGTAAAGTGGACAGAAAATTGTTCTGAATAGACTTTTAATGTTATGGTTTGCTTTCATGATTTGATCATTGAGAGTTTTGAATAATTGGGAAAAAAGATTATGTCAGGAACACTGTTGGTACGGATGATGGCTTGGATCGTATCGATTCACGCCGTCGTTCGAATGGTGTGATGTAATTGATGAGAGTTTAATTTGTTGTTTGAAATTTAATTGATTTTATTGTTGGATTTTTCAATGAATGTAATGTTTTTTAACATATAAATAAGTACACTATTATTGTTATTTAAAAAAATATATTTAAAATCTAGAACTTGAACAAAGAGAATGGAAAGGAGCGGTTACAACTCAATTCAAAATAATTGAGGATTATTTTGACATTTCTATAAATTCTAGGACCAAAATGATCTCATCAAGATAATCTGATACCATCTTAACAGTTTCATTATATATAAATGTATAAGAATAGTGTATTATCTACTATGTATATAAATATATGATTTTTTCGTAGAGGCAATTACACGCAAGGCACCAAAATCATTGATATTTACAAAACAAGCCCTTTCTTTCATCCATTTTTCAAATTCTTACTCAAATATCAAATCTCTTTTAATTTCTATTAAATTCACAGTGGCTTGATTATGACACCCGTAATTTCATAGTTCAAAAAATCACCTAAGTGTTTGATTTATAAATAACACTTTTGGGTAGGCAGGTCGAATTCAGGTCCAACCTGAAGATGACCAGACTGAATCAAGTCAACTCGAACCTTAATCGAAAAAAAAAGAGTTGAATTTTCTAATGTGATCCAGACTCGAAAAATCTTTTCGGGTCAACTCGTACCTAAAACTTTAAAGTAAAGTTTGAATCGTGTTTGTGTGTCGGGTCAACTTTTGATACATGGAGATGTCAATTTTGGCAGATGGGTGGGGTTCTGAGTTAAAATTCTGTATCCTGGGCCCACTAATCGAAATGGATTTTGTAGGGCGGAATACTGGTGGGCCCCACGGTGCTGGGGCGCATCCCATGGATCGCGGCGAAGCTGTTCCCCCTCCCGAGCGTGATCGTCCTGGAGAACATGGCCTACCTGGGTCTCATCTACTTCACCTTCATCAGCGGCGTGGAGATCGACCTCATCTCCGTCCACCACACCGGCCAATCCGCCGCTTTCTCCCTCGCCTGCACCACCGTCCCCTTCGCCATCGGCGCCGCCGCCGCCTCCCCTCTCCAACCCACCCTCAACACCGACGCCCGCTCCAACCTCCCCTCCTTCATCGTCTTCCTGGGCCTCTCCCTCTCCGTCTCCTCCTTCTCCGTCCTCGTCCGCACCCTCGCCGAGCTCAAACTCCTCAACTCCGCCGTCGCCTCCACCGCTCTCTCCGCCTCCATTCTCGTCGACAGTTTCGTCTGGATCCTCCTCGGCCTTGCCGTAACCCTAGCCCAAAACGACGGAGATCCTGCAATCTCCCTATGGACCATCTTGTCCGGTCTCGGTTTCTACGGCGCCGTCCGGATCCTCGTCCGCCCGGCCGCCGATTGGATCTCCTCACGACCCCAGAGGGCGGCGCGATCAACGACTTCAGCGCCGGCGCGATGCTCGTCGGCGTCATGGTGGCGGCGCTCATCGCCGATGCGATCGGGATTCACGCCGTCCTCGGGGCTTTCATCTATGGATTCGTGATCCCCAGCGACAGTCCGGTGGGCACGGCGCTGATCGAGAGGCTTGAGGATTTCGTCGAGGGTTTGCTGTTGCCCCTGTTTTTTGGGATCAGTGGGATCAAAACTAATATCGGAGCGGTTGGGGATGTGGCGGCGGCGGTGTGTTTGGTTCTGATTGTGGTGGCTTCTGCGGTGGTGAAGATCGTCGGATGCCTGCTGGTCGGCGTTATGTATGGGATGCCGCTTCGTGATGGATTGGCCATTGGATTGCTGATGAACACGAAGGGCGTCATTGAGCTCGTGTTGCTCAACATCGGCCGTGATCAGCAGGTTTGGAATTTTTTTTATTTGTGAGCTTTCATTTTTGCTTTTGTTTTATGCTCGTTTTATTTTATTTATTGGAGTCCTAACAGCGAATGTGATACATCACCTACAATTTATAATATTTGATCGGCAAATTAGGATTTAGTCGATTATCTTGCCCTTTTTTTGAAAGCTTTTTGTATTCATAAATTTTTTTGTACGCACGGGTTAAGCATTTGTGATTCTTATCTTGGTGTGGCAGTGATCGATGTTTAAGGAGTCTCGCTGTTGTGAATTCTCGCCCCGCCAAATACCAAGAGAAAACTCCAAAGAACTCCTGTAGCTCTTGATCACCAAGAACACCAAGAACCTGCAAAGCTTTAAAAAACTGGACAATCTTTCAGTTCTTGCAGAGCCTCCAAGAAACGAACACCTGCCTGCAGGTTGCGATCTTGTTACCCTTTCTCTTCAAGAACCCGGGCTACCGAAAGAGAAGGGGAGAAATAGGGAAAAGAAAACTACAGGAAGAAAATGTGACAAGGACACAAACACAATAGCACAACAATTACATGGTTCGGTCAATAGACCTACATCCACGGAGGGAAAGAAGAATTACAAGGCTTCCTTTTACATCGAGGAATGACCAATCATCTTGATCTCTCACCCTCGAAACTACCTCGATACAAGATCAAAAACTCCTCCATCAATTCTTGAAGTCTCTCTCTTTCTTCTTCTTCTTGGACAAATTTACTTCCTCTTCTTAGTCTTCTTGGTCTGATTTCTATCTTCCTCCTTGTAGTAGCCTCTCTCTTCTACTCTCGCGTGCTTTTTTCGCCCCCCCCCCCCCCCCCCCCCAAGTAGACCATAGAAGCTCACAAGGAAATCACAAGTATGTCATTACTATAATTAATAGTCATATTATAACACTCGCCCTATGGGCGGAAGATCTTAAGGCTATCTCCACTCCATGTTTCGGGGATTCTTTGCCTGAGTAGGTGATTAGCTTATAGGCTTCTGACCTGACTTGCTTTTTTATCATGTAAGGGTTAGACCATTATGGTTCAAACTTTCTAAGAGTCTGATCATGAGCTGCAACATTTGCTTTCCATAAGACTAGGTCAGTCTTATGGTTTGAACCGATGTCCTCTTACCTTTGCATTATAATGCTTGGCCATTAACCTTTCGGTTTCCGATTATCGTAAGGATGCCTCATCATGAAATTCTTCTAAGATATCTAGTGAACTTTGAAAGCTTTTGTCATTTTTCGCTCTCCAGTTATCTAGCCCGGACTGTTCAAAACTTGAAGCTATACTCACTCTTTGCCTGAATACGTCGTATTTGACAAGGAGGATTGACTCCACCCCAGTCAATGAAAAAAATTGTTTGAGCCGTGGCGGTTATTCGTATTGTGTGGAGTGCATATAGGATTGAGTGGACCACTTCAGGCCAGTTTCCTTTCACTCCTTCCAACATTTTCTTGAGAAAATTCATAATGAGCTTATTAGCGGCTTCCACTTGACTGTTACTCTTAAGATGATGAACAAACATGAATTTTTATCTTATCCCTTAGCTACTGCAGAATTATTTCATCTTTTTATCTATGGTTTGGGTGTCGTTGTCGATGATGATAACCATAGGTAATCCCTATCAATAGATGATATCGGACCATATGAAATTTTGGATGATGTTCATTGTGATTCTAGTCCTATCCATTTGGTAATATGTATTTTCGCTGCCCCTTCCCCTAGGGGAGGCCCTATGAGGCTCATTCCTCATACTGCGAAGAGCCATGGTCTGTTTATATGTTGCAGTTTATGCGAAGGTTAAAGTCTTAGTGGAGCAAACTTTGGACATTATTTGCACCTTTTGGAAAATTCTTTGACATATTCTCAAAGAGTATATGAGAGATATCCTTCTCAAAGGATTTGATTATCTAGTGTTCCACCACATGAATGGCTATCACATTCCCAGATTGAAATGCTTGCAGGATTACATTCTTCTCATCTTCCCTAATGCATCTTTGAGAAGTAGAGGTAACAAACCTTTGAAATAGTTTCCCGTTGATTATCATATAATAAGATACTTTGATTTTGAATTTTTGGAGGTCTTGTATGTTCTTCGGGACTTTTTTTGTTGATAGGAACTGTTGAAGCGGATCGACCCAGCTGTTGACTAATTGAATTGGCATATTTGCGGCCTCAGCTTCTTCGATAGTCGGTTGGTGTATGGTCATGGACCATTACTTTTGTGAGCTTGGAAGTATGGCCAGAATTTCCTAGCATAAATAATGAGTGCTAATACAAGCTTTTCCAAGATCATATACTTCTGCTCAATACCTTGGACTATCTTGCTGACGTAATAGACTGTAAATTATTATTTTTTATCTTCTCTGATCATTACTAAGCTGATAGCTTCTCTAGTGAAATTCAAATAAAAATAGAAATGTTCATTGGGAATAAGGTTGTGCAGCAAATGGAGTGATGATAATAGATTTTTGAGCTCTGTGAAGGCCCGATCACATTCTTCAGTTCAAGTTAATTGATTGGTGTTTTTGATGCTCTTGAAGAATGGAGAACAGTGATCTTCATATTTTGAGATAAATCTACTAAGGCCTATTATTCTCATTACTTTGAGTTTCCTTGGCATTGACATGTCCAAAAATGGTCGAAACCTTTTTTTGGTTAGGCTTTATCCCTTCGAGAGTAAGTAAATAATTGAGAAACTTTCCGAAGGTGGCTTTAAATGTGCACTGTAGTGGATTGAGTTTGATCTTAAACTTTCTTAATGTACTGAATGTTTTCTCAATTTTTAATAGTGTTGTGTGGTTTTTCTTTTTACCAACAGGTCATCGATATAGATTTTTACATTTCTTCATTCATAATTAGTAAAAATTATGTCCATTAATCTCTGGGTGGTATTCTTGTGTTGAAGGTAGCTTTCTTGATGTCAGCCAATTGCATCATGATTTGGTGTTAGTCTGAGAAAGTGTCTAAGAAGCTCATGATTAGATATCTATTGTTGATTCGATTAGTGCGTCAATTCACGATAGGGGATGGCTATCCTTGAGATATGCTACATTTAGGTTGGTCAAATTCATACACATTCTCCATTTTGCATTCCAACTTCTAGTAGCCTTAAGACTTCTTTCCTAATAGGTTTAGCCAAGTTATTGGTTGTTGTCTGCATCTTTAACTTTAGTGTTTTGGACCCCGATCTTACATTTAGAGGATGGCAAGGGACATCAATATCCACCCCAGGCATCTCGGCTGGGATCCATGCGAAGATATCACAATGATTTTTTAGGACATTGATGAGATGATCCCAATGTCCATTATTGAAGTCGCGTTGACTAAGAAGGTTCTCTCCCCTTCATCTGCAGATATAGACATGACTTTTGGGGCCCCTGTGGCTTCAAGACTGTTGTATTTGTTCTGCTCAAGTAAGAGGAGATCCTCGTGTATGTTCTCCACAATCTGTAAGTAGCATGCTCGTGACTGAATCAAATCACCACGAGTGGCGATGATTTGTCTCTCGAAGACAAATTTTATGGTGACATGATAAATTGACTCAATTGCTTTGAAAGTATTCAATGCTGGTTAGCCGAAGAAGGCATATGCATATTCGTTGCTTTGACGATGATGAAATCGATGGCTGCGATAAATTGGCGGTCTCCTTCTTTCGAAGTGATCGGGAGGGAAATGACTTTGCATGTCTCCTTTCGTTCCTTAGAGAATTTGTTTAATGATACGGAAGTGAGAGCCAATCTGTTTATGGTGATTCCCATCTTATCAAATGCACCCTTCTACAGAATGTTGATTGAGCTGCCAGTAATTATCAGAATGCTCCTGACTTGGTAATTCTCAATGATCGTGGTGACTAAGATCACGTCTGTGAAGGGATTCCCACCACAGACAAATTAGCATCCGAGAACATGATTGGAGTGTGAATTGGTGGGGTGCGCTCAACCATAATGGATGAACAAGCTCTCCGGCTTTTAATTTCTTCAGGCTTATGGCTTCGGTTTCGTCTGCCTCAAAATTGACAGATGTAGTTCTGGCGATGTGGATTAGCCTTACTAAAGGGGGCTAAATGTTAATTTTAATTCTATGGGATAAAAATCAATTAAAATTTGTGTATATCTATTTCTGTGTATACATGCGCGCGAGTGTGTGAGTGTGTGTGTCTATATATATATATATATATATATAATATTAATAAAAGAGTAACTCGTGGCTCCCTACGCATTAAAACTCAAAAAGATTACAAAATAAGGGAGGGATAGTGGATCCTCAGCTAAAAATAAAAATACATTATAAACTCAGGGGTTCCAAAATCCATTATATATATATATATATATATATATATATATATCTTCATGTGTGAGAGTTCAGGCTGTCACAAATAGTATTAGAGCATTACACCAACAAGAAGATGAGAACCAAGTGTCATAAAGAACAAAGTGGTACTCAATGAGAGACATGTCTTGAATCTGTAAGGGCTACCACTATAATCTATATGTTTGGTAGATAATTATGGGCATAGAGCATTGATGAGGATGTCATATACTTACGTGAGAGAGATTATGAAACCCCTTAAGTAGATTGAAGCCAAACTTTTGAATTTCGATGCACCTTTTAGTGGAATAGTTGACTTTTATTAGAAACGCTAAAGTTAAATTATACTAGTAGGACAAAATCATAAGATCACCAAGTCAAAGTGGCCAATATAGATAGCTTGTTAACTTTATTAGTTTAAACCTCTCAAGTCAACCTATTAAAGGGCATTGTGGTTGACTTCCTTGAGTGGCTTCGGTATGTTGACCTCTAATATATATGGTATAATTGCACTTTATTTTCTTATTTTTATTTTTTGTTAAACTTATTGTAATTGTACCCTTTTGACTTCGTGCAGCTGCTGAGCGAAGCTTCATTCGCAGTCATGGTGTGCACATCCGCAATCATCACCGCCTTCGTGAGCCCCCTTCTCTCCCTCTCCTTCCGCTCCACTCGCCGCACATCCTCCTTCCAGCGCCGCTCCGTCGAGCACTCCGGCCGCCGCCCTGATTCCGACCTCCGCCTGCTGTTCTGCATTCACGCCACCCGCCACGTGCCCTCCCTCCTCGCCCTCCTCGACTCCTCCAATCCCTCCAAACGCCAGCCCGTCTCCCTCCTCGCCCTCCACCTCATCGAACTCTCCTCCCGGCCCTCCTCCATGCTCATCATCCACTCCTCCTCCTCCTCCTCCGCCGCCACCTCCGCCATCTCCCGAGCCTTCAAGTCCTACGAAGACCAATCCCCTGGCGGCCTCTCCGTCCGCACCCTCACCGCCGTCTCCCCTTACCCCACCATGCACCAAGACATCTCCTCCATCGCGGAAGACTTCCGCGCCGCCCTCATCATCCTCCCCTTCCACAAACACCGCACCGTCGACGGCGGCATGGAGCTCACCAATCCCTTCCTCCGCTCCCTCAACCAATCTGTCCTCACCTCCGCCCCCTGCTCCGTCGCCATCTTCATCGACCGCGGCCTCCCGGCCCCCTCCCGCCTCGCTGTCTCCCGCAGCGCCGCCCTGTTCTTCATCTCCGGCCCCGACGACCGCGAAGCTCTTGCCTTTGCCTCTCGCATCGCCCGCACCCACCCC